GTAATACCTTACTGTTTAATACCTTAGATGTGAACACAGTTTATGACTGTGTAATACCTTAGATGTGAACACAGTTTATGACTGTGTAATACCTTAGATGTGAACACAATTTATGACTGTGTAATACCTTACTGTTCAATACCTTAGGGGTGAACACAGTTTATGACTGTGTAATACCTTAGATGTGAACACAATTGATGACTGTGTAATACCTTGGGGGTGAACACAGTTTATGACTGTGTAATATATGTGAGTTTACTGCACATAACTTTTACAAGAACAATAAGCAGTATGAACAATTGTTTGCTGCAATGGTAAAGGAACACTTCAATTCTCTAGTACCTAATCTTTGTTGTACACTATCCGTTATCGAAACCCGTTCCCGAACATGCTAGCACTTTCAGTCTGGGCTCGTTATAATATGACAATTCCACTATTCGTTGCTAAGAGTTGGCGTTGGGTGGTTTTTGAGTAACTGCCTTCTTTCTAGTTTATCATTTGAAAATTAAGGACAGACAGCGCAGATAACATTCGCAAAATTGAACAAACAAAGCACACTATTCATTTTAAGCGATCTGCACACACACGAGTTTGTTTCAGTATTTTCGAAAACAGCTACATAAAGGGCTATTTACGCATAGCCTTCCTAATTTTGAATTGATAGGATAGAGGGAAAGCAACCAGACACGCACACACACACACACACAAAAGAGAGAAAACTTAATATATTGCAAGACAAAAATAAAGTACAACAAATAAAGTTGATTAATATGACACTTCTACATGATGTTTCTGTGACAAGTACTGAGAAATAACGACGTCATAAGAGTATGCAACAAGAAATGTCCCCCCCCCCTCACACCCCTTTGTTTTAACGCAAAGCTATATGATAGGCTATTTGCATTCTATCCACCACAGGGAATCGAGAACCCGGATTTTAGCATTCGAAGTTCGTAAACTTATCACTGACCCAACGAGGTCGCAAAGAAATGAAAACCAAAAATAGTGAAGGAATATTAGTGTGGTTAAAAATAGTGACTAAATATTAGTGTGGTTAAAAATAATGACGAAATATTAGTGTGGTTAAAAATAGTGACGAAATATTAGTGTGGTTAAAAATAGTGACAAAAATATTAGTGTGGTTAAAAATAGTGACAAAATATTAGTGTGGTTAAAAATAGTGACTATATTAGTGTGGTTTAAAATAGTGACAAATATTAGTGTGGTTAAAATAGTGACGAAATATTAGTGTGGTTAAAAATAGTGACAAAATATTAGTGTGGTTAAAAATAGTGACTAAATATTAGTGTGGTTAAAAATAGTGACCAAATATTAGTGTGGTTAAAAATAGTGACTAAATATTAGTGTGGTTAAAAATAGTGACAAAATATTAGTGTGGTTAAAAATAATGACGAAATATTAGTGTGGTTAAAAATAGTGACAAAATATTAGTGTGGTTAAAAATAATGACAAAATATTAGTGTGGTTAAAAATAGTGACTAAATATTAGTGTGGTTAAAAATAGTGACGAAATATTAGTGTGGTTAAAAATAGTGACGAAATCACATAACAAACAAAAACATTATGTGTAATTTAATAAATCTGTTACTAAATATTTCAAAAGGAAGTAGTTAAGTGATTGAAATCATTATTAAATTTTTAAATATTTGCTAATTCTATACTCTTGATGATCTATGCACGCATGATTCAACAGATCATTTAAAAACATGGGGTATGTGAAACAAGTAAAAATCATCACATATTTAATTTACTCTTAACCTACTATTGGAAATAAATATTTGTATTTTAAGTTTGTATAATATAATAGACTCTAACAAAATTATGATAATATCCGTTTTGGCAGGTGCTTTTAAAAACAGATTTGATAAATTCATTCGGAGACGAAACAGTTAAATGAAACTAGTCATAATGGCCACAACTGTCACCTATATAAATATAATGAGTTCTGAATATATGTGTGTACAAACTAGTCATAATGGCTACAACTGTCACCTATATAAATATAATGAGTTCTGAATATATGTGTGTACAAACTAGTCATAATGGCTACAACTGTCACCTATATAAATATAATGAGTTCTGAATATATGTGTGTACAAACTAGTCATAATGGCTACAACTGTCAACTATATAAATATAATGAGTTCTGAATATATGTGTGTACAAACTAGTCATAATGGCTACAACTGTCACCTATATAAATATAATGAGTTCTGAATATATGTCTGTACAAACTAGTCATAATGGCTACAACTGTCAACTATATAAATATAATGAGATCTAAATAAGCGTGTACAAACTAGTCATAATGGCTACAACTGTCACCTATATAAACATAATGAGTTCTGAATATATGTGTGTACAAAACTAGTCATAATGGCCACAACTGTCAACTATATAAATATAATGAGATATAAATATATGTGTACAAACTAGTCATAATGGCTACAACTGAATACAAGTCACAAGCGATATGCATACACGAATACAAGCCATAAGCGATATGCATACATGAATACAAGCCACAAGCGATATGCATACACGAATACAAGCCATAAGCGATATGCATACATGAATACAAGCCACAAGCGATATGCATACACGAATACAAGCCATAAGCGATATGCATACATGAATACAAGCCACAAGCGATATGCATACATGAATACAAGCCATAAGCGATATGCATACCTGAATACAAGCCATAAGCGATATGCATACATGAATACAAGCCATAAGCGATATGCATACATGAATACAAGCCATAAGCGATATGCATACCTGAATACAAGCCACAAGCGATATGCATACATGAATACAGTTTTTTGTTTAAGTATTGTGGAAATTCGCACTGAATGCTCATGTCTCTTACTTTATATTTTAAAACCAGCTTCAATTAAAAACAGACTTCATTTTATTTTCCGATCATTATAAAATATTTGTGTTTCTGTAGCAGCACTGACTGATTCCGTTTGATTCTCTCTAACTTATAAATGATTCGAATGGGCTTATATCGTGCTGCTTTTCTACAAAGTCTAATTAGGATATCTCATTCTATATATATACCAGCATAAAATATATGCACTCCGCTGCGGGGATTACAGGCTTCCCTCACGATTCACGGTGGCCTCAACGCACCGATGAAGTCCTCCCCCCCAATTAAACCCAATTTATATACCTACCCCAATGTGGGTGGTCTATATCCGAAAACAAACCCCCGTTAGTACACCCGCTTTTGGACATGAGCACGTGTGTAACGTTTGGTCCACTAACTTCTAGGTGAGGGTATGAACACAGTTTAAACATGAAACCCCTTAGATCACTGAGGGGCCAGGAACAAAAATTATGATTCCAGTTTCGGTTTCAACGATCCTGAAAACCTTTTCCTAGACCCCCCATCATGCCTGGGTGACTTTCCATGTGCGTTTTATTCCATTGGGACCTCAAATAAACAAGAAAACGGGGCTACGCCACATAGATAAGGACCCCACCCCGAAATACTCCAAGTTCACATGCCAAGTTTGACCCCACTACCTCCTGTGGGAAGGGTATACAAACAAATAAATTCATAATGTGAATTAATATAGAAGATAAAAATGTAAAAACAACAACAACAACATTGTTTGTCAATGAATATCAATCTAAATTTGTTCAGAGCCCAAACAAACTTGTTATTGGACCAAATAAAACTAAATCTCTCATCTTGCATGTTCTTCTTTTTAGATCAAATAGTTCTATTAACTACGTTTAAATCTTCAAAAATGAATATTACACTCGGATAATTTTAATGTGAAATATCTAAACAATAAAAGCATATAAAGTGAACATATATTAGATTTAATACCGTTCACATTACGCTACAACGTTTAAATTACAAAGTATTTAAAAAATGTTTATATTTTAATACCCAATGCATGTCTACCATTTCTCTGTTTTACCAACTTTATAAAGTCAGATTGACGTTATTATAAAATCATTATAAAGTAAGCAATACTTATAAATGGCCAAATTATATAACTCCAAAATTAGAGAACTAAAATATTGAAAATATTGCTACATTAATTGTTTTGTTTTGAATTTCGCGCAAAGCTACACGAGGGCTATCTGCACTAGCCGTCCCTAATTTAGCAGTGTAAGACTAGAGGGAAGGCAGCTAGTCATCACCACCCACCGCCAACTCTTAGGCTACTCTTTTACCAACGAATAGTGGGATTGACCGTCACATTATAACGCCCCTACGGCTGGAAAGGGCGAGTATGTTTGGTGTGACGGGGATTCGAACCCGCGACCCTCAGATTGCGAGTCGAGCGCCTTAACCAACCGGGCTGCTACATTAAAACGGTTTTGGAACAATTGTTTAAAATTAATCAATTAAGACATTTTGATATTTAATAATTCTAGGATTTAGGAGACCATCTCTCACCTGATAAGTAAGAAGTATATTTCCGGTCTCGTTGCAGTACTCTTAAATAGGTTTATAAATTGACAACTATTTAACCTTCCTCGGTCTCGCCCCATCTTCTCCATATTCAGTTCCTGTAATGTCAAACAAAATACAAAAACAACATAAATATTCCTGCAGCACGTTAGCGACATCTTTTAGCAACAGGTTTGAGGAATAAAAATACTGAAGACCAGTAGTAACTCTCTTAGAAAGTTGACAGCATAGAGCAGCGGTTTCCAACCTTTTCACCACCAAGGACCCCCTTTTATTATCATTTTTTACCCCACGGACCCCATGCTTTTTGAAAGGTTCCATCTACCCAGCAAACTGTTTTTCTTACTAATAATTAACTTGTTTTTCCATTTTTCACTATCATATAAAAGACATATATAACTGAGTGTGCAATTAAAAAAACAGCAGAATTAAAAAACTTACTTGTTTAATGAGATGGTATTATTTTCGCGGCCCCCCAGGTTGGAAATCACTGGTATTGAACAATGCGTCTCTAGGTTTCCACTCTTCTTACGCTCCAGTGAATGTTGAATTTGTTTTTAATAACTGTTCCGCAAAGCTACACAAGAGCTATTTATGTATAGCCATCCATAATCTGGAACTGATAGGCTAGAGCACCTAACTCCGACACTTGACTGATCGAACAGAAGAATTTGACTGTCACTTTTATATAGCATCAATGACGGAACAGATTTTTGTGGCAACTGGAGCACAAACCAAGAATCTTGTGATTCAGAATGCGGTCACGTTAACCACTAGAGCACGCCCGGGATACGAAGTTTACGAATTACTGCTATGATCCTTACTGTCAATATAATGACAGTCACTTAACTAAGGCTGGGGTGATAAAATAAAGGACTTTGTGTAACGAAGATTGACACTGTATTTTTAATAATGTTTTATTTTAAAATTCTTGTCAAGGCTAATTTATGTAAGCATGTTTAGTAACATATTAGCATACTTTTTTATTTATAGTTTGAGTAAATAATGTCTACAGTGTCTCCTGCCTTGTTTGCTTACTTTTTTTACGATCCCTACTTGCAGGTTTTAAATTCCCAATTTTATATTCATTATATATGTTATATGAACAAAATATAATATCAGTATGACTGACTACAGAAGCATCCACCACTGTACTTCTTTTTCCTGTCCGAATACCGTCCAGCCTCACGATACGCTTTTTCTGCAAATTCTAACTTTACAGGACGGTGTGTCACCGTTGCTGTACGTTTGTTTGTTTGTTTGAAATTAAGCACAAAGCTACACAATGGGCTATATCTGTGCTCTGCCCACCACGGGTATCTAAACCCAGTTTCCAGCAGACATACCGCTGCGCCACTGGGGGGGCTGCTGTACGTTACTAAGATACTTTTATTGCACTGACTAAATTAACTGAGTTCATTCCGACAGTTCAAGTGCTAATATCTTCCTATAGTAGTAGTTAAATAAATAGAATTCTTAACATTCTTTAGGATAATAAATGACCTTTCACTTAACGTTTTATTTATTTTGAGAAGATGTATAATATATATATATAGCACATTGGCATACGCAAGGATAGAAAACAGACAGATTAGGAACAACAAAGTCGCTGAATATGTAACAAAGTGAAGTAGTTTTTATACATAAAAAAGAAACGTAAATAGATTTATGTTTAGCAAGATATTTGTTTGTTTGTAAAAGCTATTATGTCCAAAAAACATGCCGAAAGATATTCATATGTTAACAATTTCTTCACAATCATCTCTGTTAGTTCGTTACAATCAAGAGGCAAGAGCCGTTACAGCGGCTCATAGAAAGACTGAGTTTTTCTTGTTTTTTCAAGTACAAACTTTTAGCTCATAGCTCCATCATCTCTTGACCGATTTGAGATCTAATTACAGTTTTGGACTCGCGAGGATTGATGTTTTTGACCAAGCCCAAGGTCTCATGGATTAATTTTCTTCAATACTGTCTGAAATAATTTCAATTGCCGTGGCTATTAAGGATTCTCTCTTGTTTTGTTTGTAATATATATTAACGCCCTGCGTTGGATCAGCGGCAGCTTTAAGTATATCAAACATTTGTCCAGTGTAGCAAAATATCGAAACAGGTGAAGCGTGAAAACGTTTTTAGTCCTAAATACGAGAAAGAACAATAACATAGAGTTGATATGTTCAATTATTTTATCATCAAACCTACTTTTGTTAACTGTTCTCCAAGAAAAAAATACAACATTAAAATGTTTGTTGCAAAATCGTAACAGATTTGACGTAATTCTAGGCGTAATTATTTTGATATTGCATTTTAAATTGGAAGCCAATTCAAAACAAATTTATCTTACAAATGTGACAGTAAGAAATACTTCAGAATTTTTATCGTGCGAACTTGTCGCCAATGCGAAAAAGACTTTATTTCAAATACTTGGTTTACATGAGCTATATCAGATGTGGGCGTAAAACCTTTGTATATATTTATTATAACTTATATGTTAAAGCACAGATGAAGGTCAGAAATCATTAAAACATTTCAAGACCACAAATTCCAGAAGAAACTCTATTAATATCAAACGTTTCAGTCTCCTACTCTCAAGGGTTAACTGCCTACTGTTTATCTACAATTCAAATGAAACATTATATAGTAGAACACAATAAAATAATAACATATCCCAACATGAGAGGTTGGAAGGTGATGAAACAATGTATGAAGGGAAAGAATGGAACCTTATACGGAAATATATAAATTGGAAAATACATGCATAAAATATAAAGTAAAAATAAAGGTTAACAAGAAATTTTTATAATTTATAAGAATATATAAAATACTTAAAAATTCACATTACTGCACTTGTTTCAATATCAGTAACTTTGGTCAGAATGAAAAATTACAACAAGTAAGAAAAAATATCCTTTTTACCAGAATCAGTACGCGTAAGATAATTAAAAGGGTTGAAATCAACTAGGCAACTTATAAGGAAAATACCCCCCCCCCAGTAGCACAGTGGTATGTTTGCGGACTTACTACGCTAGAAACCGGGTTTCGATACCCGTGGTGGGCAGAGCACAGATAGCCCATTGTGTAGCTTTGTGCATAAATTCAAACAAACAAACAATATAAGGAAAACATGTACAGTTGTTAAGTAAAAGAACGATTTAGCGCTTCAATAACATTTCATATACGGTAATATTTAAGTTGAAATGATAACTTTAAGAAATGGTAAATTTCAAAAGATTCGTTTGTCGGAAAACTGAGAGGTCGCACTGTATTAATGCCTTTCTAATTTATTTTTTATATATATATTTTTATATAATATATTTTTTTACATTAAGCTAGAATACGTTTCTGTGACACTAAGTTTTTACACGAAAAGGGATAATATAGCTAAGATATGACTTCGATATTAGCTTTTATTAATTTGCATCGCTATTAGGCCTATTATTATTGAGTTACCAGACTGTCAGGCTTATGCTATGGTACCAATATTCAGAATTCAGGAACTCGCTAGTACGATGCTGGTGCTTACAGAAAAACACAATTGTCTTTTGTTAAATGCTTATTTTATTGTTACGTATTTCTGAAAGTGTTGCTTGTTATAACCAGGTGTTTTATGTGGGGGCTTATTCTTTCAAAGTATACAAGAATGCAGGTGGTATGAGAAGATAAGAAATATAGTACTAGCACTAATAATAGCTAAGTTGTTAACAATCCATTTGCTTCTGAGTAATCCCTTTGGCTCGGGATCGTTTCTTTGTTTGTTTTGAATTTCGCGCAAAGCTACACGAGGACTACCTGTGCTAGCCGTCCCTAATTTAGCACTGTAAGACTACAGTCATCTCCACCCAACGCCAACTCTTGGGCTACTCTTTTACCAACGAATAGTGGGATTGACCGGAACATTATAACGCCCCGATGGCTGAAAGGGCGAGAATGTTTGGTGGGAGGGTGGATTCGAACCCGCGACCCGCAGATTGCGAGTCAAGTGCCTTAACCACCTGGCCATGGGCTCGGGATCGAGTCACGATATAATATATAATGGAGCACATTCTTCTTACCGCATCACTCAATAAATTAAACAATCTTCATAAATATCTCTATCAGAGTTTTTTGCATGTTCACAGAATTTAATGACGTTGTTTTTCACACATGTAATAATGATAAGTCCTAATGTACTTCTATTTCAAGGTATTTCACTCCAGTAAAAATTTCTTTGAACTTTCGATTTTAGGATGTAATTTTGTTTTGTTTTATTACAGAGTGGAGAGATATTTTTATATTATTTTGTTGGCCAATAAAGTAACATTGTAAAAATACATGTTTTTTTTTAACTGATCATTGGTATATATGGTATTAGCTTAGCGAGAATTAATAACACAGTTACGTGGTTATGTTTAAAAAGCTTAAAGCTCACAAGAGTTAATTTTTTCCTATATTTTAAGTGTCAAATTCCGATTTTATGTTTTATCAATATTAGTAATTTCTGGTGAAAAACAAGGCAGCTACAATGATGACAACTAAACACCAATTAACGTAGCTTATTTTCGATCAGTTTCGCTATAATTCTATATAATATTCACTTAGTTCTAAAACTATACACTAATATGTAGAATGCAAAATAATTCTCAAAATAAAAATGTGTAAAATGAATAACTGAAAATTAAAAAATATGCTTAAATTTTTGCCAATACTATTTATGAAACAAAAATTAAAGAAATAATTGAATACAGGTTTACTTACAAGACATGGAAACTAGTGAGATGTTGTATTGAAGCTTTTCTATCCCTAGAAACGTGTAACGCCAGTATAGACATTTCTAAAAACCTAATATACGATTTTTGGTGGTGTACATTTTATCCTTTTTTGATTTATTGATACCACAACGGTTTCTGTGTGACTTTTCATCTAGTTATCAAAGAAAACCCATTAAACGGCTGGACAGTTCATTATTTTGTTGTTGTTGTTTTAATTTGGCCACACAATGAGCTGCATGTGTTCTGTTCACCGTGAAAAATCGAACACTGGATTTGACAGTTGTAAATTCATTAACTTACCGCTGACCCAATAGGGGGTCGGCTCGACAAGGTAACGTTAGATTCGTTTAACA